TCTTTCTACAGCGCTGCTCTTTGACTGCTTTTCTTGTTGTTCCCACCAGAGAGATCGTACACCATTGTTACCGTGTTTTGAATCCCTCTCATCTACTCTGGCTCCTGTCTGCTTGCTCGTGTTTTGCAGTCTATCCTNTACTTCAACTGTCTTTCTACAGCGCTGCTCTTTGACTGCTTTTCTTGTTGTTCCCACCAGAGAGATCGTACACCATTGTTACCGTGTTTTGAATCCCTCTCATCTACTCTGGCTCCTGTCTGCTTGCTCGTGTTTTGCAGTCTATCCTAGTTTGTACGTACTGGTTTGACAGAACCAAATGATTGGTGTCCCACGTTGGCCGAGGGATGCTGCCTACTCGGGCGACCCTAGTTTTTTGTGACCGTGTACCCCTCTTTCTTGGCTGCCCATTCTTGCACTCTGTGCGGGTGTGCGTAAAGCGAATGTTACTGAAACGACAACCAATCACGTCACATTCCTTCTTTTGTTTCGCGGTGTCGGGCTTAGCAGTACCAGCGAAGGATACTTTCGCCTTCGCCCGCGCGGGAGGACCCTGGGATTCGGAATTATCCTGATCACGTTTGTCGGTCCCCCGCTGAGCACGCCCACGTTGCGCGCCGTATGCTCCACCACTGGACACGAACGCTTCCTGCCCTGAAATATGGTTTTTAATGGCAGTAATGCGGTCCTTGTTGTCGTCCGCCGTACTTTGGAGCTGCCCGGGACGAGCAGAGCCGTATACGGTCGAGGCGGTAGCCGAGATGGGGGCAGGGGGCGAGTGCAGTTTATTGGACTCGTGTCTACGAGCACGCGCTTTCGATTCCATGAAAGAATCGGATGGGTCTGCCCACATCATTTCTACGCGAATGTGGGGGTGCACACCGTTTTCGAAAGATGCAGTGAGTGCTTGATTGAAAGCGTGTTCATGAGGTGGTACACTCAGCGGAGCTGTGCGCTCAGCTTCGGCTAGAAGTCTGGCATACGCGCGTGATACTCTGCGCGCAAACACGTCAACTGATCCGCTAGTCTTCGCTTCGAATTTCATGACATCACGTGCAAGAAGAGCAATTCGGTTGGTNAGTCTGGCATACGCGCGTGGTCCTCTGAGCGCAAACCCGTCAACTGATTCGCCAGTCTTCGCTTCGAATGTCATGACATCACGTGCAAGAAGAGCTATTCGGTTGGTGGGAGCGAACGATGTGGTGAAAGCCGTGACCCATTCCTTCCATGTTTTCGGAGGTGTGATTCGGACTACTTCCCCACGTGCACGCAACGTATTAAGCTGAGCTGGCGGTCGCCATTCGAGAGATGAGCTAAGCACGAGGCTGAGACTTTGAGCTGCGGCACCTCGCACGAAGAGCGCGAGATGTTTGATTGCGCGGTGATCGATTGTGCTTTGAGAAACGTTGTCTGCAGACAACAGACCGATGTGTGCCCTGTAAAGTGTCATTTTTTCGGGAACATCTTCGTGCGGCAGACCCTCGAGCTTGAGATCAGGAGGTAGGTCAGTAGCATTCAAAGTAAATCGCGCCGTGCTAATCACGTCCTGGTTAACCGTGGTTTGGGTTACCGGGGTAGGGTTGTCCTGGTTTACCGTTTGCTGGTTTACCTGGTTTCNCCATTCGAGAGATGAGCTAAGCACGAGGCTGAGACTTTGAGCTGCGGCACCTCGCACGAAGAGCGCGAGATGTTTGATTGCGCGGTGATCGATTGTGCTTTGAGAAACGTTGTCTGCAGACAACAGACCGATGTGTGCCCTGTAAAGTGTCATTTTTTCGGGAACATCTTCGTGCGGCAGACCCTCGAGCTTGAGATCAGGAGGTAGGTCAGTAGCATTCAAAGTAAATCGCGCCGTGCTAATCACGTCCTGGTTAACCGTGGTTTGGGTTACCGGGGTAGGGTTGTCCTGGTTTACCGTTTGCTGGTTTACCTGGTTTCGTGAGGCCTGGTTTACCGTGTTGTGGTGTACCGGGTTAATAGGTGAAATTGTCGGTGTAGACCTATTCCTAGCAGAAGTCTGTTGAACACTTGCTGTCGGGTGCATGCCAGAGCGATTGTCTGCTTCTAGATCGGGGGCAAGCGAACGTGGATTCACCTTCTGGATGTCTTGCTGGTGAGCGGCTCCCGGCATAAGCATGCTAAGGACCCATGCCGGCGGGGCCTTCTCCGCCTCCACTGCCTTTGAGACCGCGCTGACGAGGACGGCCTCCAGCGGTCCGCCGCTTGCCAGGAGCGGTGAGCTCTGCTTACTGGTGGCGTCGGCGCGGTTCTGCAGGATGTCGTGCGCAAGGTCGTCGTCGACGTTGTCGTCATCGTCATCCTCAGGGGTTAGGTCGGTGTCGAGGTTGCCCGCCTCGGCGCCGTCGCTAGCGCTGCTGTTATTGTCGCTATCGCGACCCTCACCAACCAGTGCGTGAAAATATCCGCGATGGTGACCGCTCTGCGAGGGTGCTACGCTCGCAGACGCCCCGGCGGATTCTCCCGTTTGGGTAGGCTTCGGCTGTCCCTCTTAGGGCTTAGCCGAGCCATGGTTGGTGTTAGCAGTAGCGTCGGGACGCGGCGTGGCTGGCGGTTTGGGCGTCGTCAGCTGCTTAACCTTTTTCGGCTGTTGCTGCTGTTGTTGCGACCCTCCGTCCTTTTTCTTCCCTTGCTTCCTTGGATTGCCCATGTTTACACGTGGGTTTCAAAGATGCAACGATAGAACGCTTCGTGAGCGGAGAGTCCGGGGTTGTGGTGGCTATGTCCTGCCACCGGAGGTTGGCTATTTCCTTTGGTGCAATGTGGCGAGGAATGCCAAGCGTGACCGAGCGAACTCAGTCAAGCTAGGGTAGTCCGGAGAGTGGGCGAGCCTTCGTGGACTTCTTTTCCCATTTTTCTAAAGATCCATCAACTCTTCGCAGCCGTTGGGGGTCGTAAGAGTTGGGGACCCTCGGAGAACAGTAAGCTATTATCACTTATTCCCTCAGATCCTACTCTTTATGTACGTGTATCTGTGCTCCCTGAATCTCCATATCTTGACCTCCACAGTACATTGGCACGAAATTGATTCCGCCGCTTGGGGCCCCGAGGCGGGCAGCAGCGGCGCAACTCGGTATTTTTGAAAACCTAGACTAACGGCCGCGGCGCCGCCCGGCGAAAACATAACAACCCGCGGGTCTGGGGGCATGGCGTGCCTCGCACGAGCTAAGCTCCGCTATGAGCGCAATGACGAATTTATTACGGTTATGCTTGTGGCCGTCTTGTGCGCTTTGGCCGGAGAGGAGGACTTGGTTCTCGTGTTGAGCTTGCTTGGCCTAGTCCAACTGGAGGCCTACGAAGAGCTGATAGCACCCACGATCCTCGAGGGTGTGTACCCGACGTACAACCTCTTCAATGCCACTGGGGGCATGGACTTCAAGGAGCTATTTCAACGCATATGGGGTGTGTTCGAGAGCATCCGTGCAGTAGATAGGGACATGGGTGTGTGTGCGTTGGTGCTACTGCTGTGTTCAGATCTCCGCTCCCACGCCCTCCACCAGCCCGCCCTCCCGGAACAGTCCCGCCAACCCCGCCCCCAGCCGCCCGGGTATGTTGGGCCTGATGCCCTCCGCCAACCCGTCCTCCCGCAGTTTGTGCCCCGAAACCCGGGAGAGACGGTGGGGGGGCTACCCCCACCGCGGGAGGAACCGACGCCGCAGCTGGTCCTGGAGCAGAAGCTGGCGCAGCAGGTGGTGGCGGAGGAGGTGCTGGGGCTGAAGCCGGACCCCCCCCCGACGGGTGGAGGTTGAAGTGGCCCAGAAGCATTTGCAACATGGCGTTGCTTTGTTCGGTCGTCTGCAAACTTTGCTGGGCAACCTCGTGACTGCGCTGCGCAAGTTGAGTGTTGTGCTCGACCCGCGCGGCGAGGGCGGGGTCGACTGCAGCGGACGCGTGTTGGGGAGGGTGGCTGGGTTTGTTGATGACGTGGTTCACCGCCTTCTTCAGCATGCTCTTAAGGTCATCCGAATCACCTGGAGGGTTGCGATACGTCTCCTTCCGCATGCCTCCCCCACCCTTCGCGGACCGCTGCTGCCGCCCCGCCCTGCCCGCAGAAATGTCCGTCGCCTCACGGTCTTGTCCTTCGCCTCATCGTCTTCGAGACATCGTCTTCGAGATCGACGCTACCAGGGCCGTAGTTTCCGTCGTCTCCCTGCCCCAACGACCCGGCCCAAGAAAGGTCGTCGTCGTTGTCCCCGCCGTCAGCGTCGTCCTCCCCGTCGGGCTGCCCCTCGTCGCGTGAATGCTGCTCTCCGCCCATCTCCAAAGAGCCTCGCCTGGGCGCGAAGTAATCCTCCTCCTGCTCTCGGTTGATAACCGAGCGGCCGGGTAACTCGACATACCCGAACGCTCGCGAGGTGCGCCTACGGCCAGCTGAGCCGTTCCCACGTCCACTCCCAGCGGACGACCCGGGGAGTCCATGCCCCGTAGCCCCACGACCGCGTCCATTCCCGCCCGAAGCGCCTCCTCGGGTCCCCGAGGTGGAATCACGGCTACGCCCACCCGCGCTGGCCGAGCTACCGCGCGCACTCCCCGAAGCCCCCCGCCCGCGCGTAACACCTTCGACACGGTCGGAGGCACCGCGGGCGGAACCTCCGCCTCGCCCGCGACCAGACTTTCCACCCCTGGCTGTTGAAGGACCGGAGGAACCTCCGCCGGGGGAGATACCCGCAGCCTTGTCCCGCACCCTCATGCCGTCCTGTCTGTGCTCCTTCGCAACCGTGTCGCCCGCCATCGCCTGCTCCTTCGCAGCTTGCTGGTACTGTATGGACAACATCAGATGGTAGTCCTGGACCGGCAACGTAGGCGAGAGAGACGGGACGGGAACCAAGTACAAGGTGGGTTCGCGCGACTCCGAAACCAAAAACCGATTGGCTCCCGAAGCTGCTGCAAGCCTCGTCTTCTACCAAGACTCTACGATTGGCAAACCTCCTGACGACCACAGGCGACGTATCTAACCGCCGGCCCACTCGACTATATACCCTAGGACAGAGCCACTGTGTTCAACCACAACAAGTAGGGATGCGACCGGCCAAACTCTACTTGATTGTCTTATGTAGACAGTTCGTCGTACCTCCGAGTTATTGGCGAGCACCTCGCTCTCCTGCTCCGCTGCCATCGTCCCTTCTCCGGTCTCCTTGGACGCGCCTGCTCATTTGCCAAGAAGGCCGCCTTCGCGCGGTTCCATCCCCTCTCGATCGATTGCGCCAGCTTCACCTTGTCGACGGGGGGCTGCAATTTTTTCGGGAGGCAAGATATCCGACACGAGTACGGTATGGGATGACAGGGGTCAGTACGAGACACGGCACGGTATTGTGATCGGGCTGTGTGGGGTGACGGTGTATGCTTGGGGTAGAGGACAAGTGAATCGGTGCTGCAGCCTCGTTCTGCGCCATATGTATCACCATCGACTACCTCCAAGCCCCAGAGCAAAACAATGTTCAAGAACGCTCTCTTCGGACACCGAACGTGACATGCACGATCTCTACTTGACAAGCACAACAAGCACGGCAAAGCACGGTAGGATATGACTACGTCGCCACATCCCGCACCCTCTACGCTCTTCACAGCACCAGCTCGGGTTCTTACTCGGTTGCGCTGGTAGTCGACGAACACGTCTCGGCTCTTGCCCTTCCTGATGATGGACATCTGCTGAGGCTCCAGGAATGTGTCCACCACCTGAAGCCAGACGCCAGGCCTCAAAGCGTCACTCCTCTCCCCCGCCGGACAGAGCTTCTGGATAGCTCGGTACGCCTTCTCCCATTCCGCGTCCCTCGCCATGGCCCGCGTGAGGTTGAACTGGTTAACATCTGTCACGGGCGAAGCAACGAATATTCGCATGCACAAGAACACGTGATTTGTCTTCACCTTGTGCACGAGGCCTGGCATCTTGCAATTTAATTGCAAGGAGCTTTTGGGGCTCTCGCATTCCGCGTAAAACTCATGGAAACAACACGTAAAATACGGAATGCTGCTCCTCCACTTTTGCTAACTCCCGCCCTAAGCTAACCCTAAAACCAACTCACGGCTAACAACGGTGGACATAAGCTTAACATTGCTATTCTAGCTCCACCGTACTTCTGGTACTGCTGTACACGGAGTACTACAGAAAACTTGAAAAAGAAAAAGAAAAAAAAAAGGCGCTCGCATCTCGACTATGTACTTGCACTCCGTGTGTACAGCAGTATGAACGTCGGTTGCAGGGGGGGCAGGATCCCGACAGCAGTGGTGAATGTACGTCTCCGATCGACGTAACAGCAATGAGACTCTCAACCCATGCACGTTTATGCAGACGCCGACACAACTTTAGCAAACTACTTGATGTACCAGCTGCACAAGACTGGCGGGGGTGGAAATTCAAATCCGCCACGGACACATGAAACATTTTCATGTGTCCCACACGAGCAAAATGCTGCCCCAAAAGAGCTCTCACCTTCTTGGGGGGCCTTCTCTTTGCCCTTATTCCCTCCACCCTTCCCCTGTTTCGTAGACCCGACTCCCTCCGAGCAGTGGTCCCCCTCGCTGCAAACTTCCTCCTCTGAGCTCTGTTCGCCCCGTCCCGCCTTCCCGCGCTTTGCCGGAACCACCCCTTGGAAGACGACACAGCTGCTGGCCGATACGTCCGAGCCGCCGCTCGACAAGTCCAGTCCGATGGGGTTGGACTGGCGACCGCTACCTCCACTTGAAGCAGCCCTCCCACCTCCCCACCCCTCGGCGTCCACGAAGGGTGAGTTCGATCCGTAGCGACTGCTAGGAGGCGACTTTCGCTTCCCGAGCTCGGGCGCTGGCGAGCGCGCTGGCGAGTACAAGTCCCGACTGCTGTCCATTCCGTGTGACATGTTTCATCACACGCGGCACGAACTCCACACACGCGGTGCCAACGCCGCAAGGCGGCTTCGTGTTCCCTGCGCTTGTGCCCAGAACAACTGCTTCCTCCACAACCAACAAAGCTAACCTCCCTTCACGGGTGGGGCGCCCGAAACTCGGTGTGCTCCTGCAGCAATCACCCGAACTTGGTTGGGGACCAACCTTTGCGTGTTTATCTTCGATCCAGCGATGACTAACCCCGCGACCCCGACGCGGCTTCACAGGAAGGGGGTGCGATGTACTCCCGGAAGCGTTCGTGCAGACGTGTGTGGTGTGCGGGCAGTGCTGTGCGAGATTGCGGACTGGGTTCTTGCTTTTGTGCTTCGGAGAGGAATTCGTGCCAACATAATTTTTTGCACGGGATATTTACCTCGATTCCAGAAAGTATTGGCCTGGAATTCTCGCCCGAAAAACGCGGCGAAACCTCTCGTGTCAAAATTTCGGGTTGGTGTCAAAATTGCAGGTTGGCGTACGTGTTGTTGTTGTTGACTTCACATTAAACCGTATGCCAGTTGCTAAATGCCAAAATCTAGCAAAGACTCTCGGCCCGTGGTCACGAAAGTGCTGGAGCCATCTGAGGATCTAAAGAACACGCACACGTAGCAAGAAAAAGGTGTACAAGAGCCCGAAGAGGTACTACTACACCTATATATAT